ATACTCTTCATCTTGAAAAAATAAGATATACCATGAATGATAATGTAAAAGACTTTGAATTAATCTGGCATCCTTTACTTACATACCTTGGGAAAATATAAACTTTCTTTTTTTCTGGCAGTCGGGGGATTGGGGCCCATAGTGGGTGGGTTTGTTTTTTTTTTGTTTGTTTGTTTGTCTGTTTTGTTAGCTTAGAGAAAAAAGGGGCATAAGCTCTATCAATTTGTAACAACCATGATACTTGCTCCTAATAAAAGATATTTGAGAAGAAAAAAAAGGATTGTATAGAGGTGCAGATGTGGGGAAGGGTACAGAAAAGGTCCCAATGAGCAGAAATGCTGTCCACTTGTATGGACCCACGGGGACTTCATAGTTCTGGCGGCCTGGCCAATCTGAGTCGGGTTATAAGGGCCACAGTCAGGGAGGAGAACCTTCCAGAAGGACAATCATTTCTGCAGCACCTGAAGAACTCTTAGACCATGAGAACAAAACTCTTTGGTCTGATGAAACAAAGATGGAACTCTTTGGCTTAAATGCAAAGCGTTGGGAGGAAACCAGCACTGCTCATCACCTGGCCGATACTATCCCTACAGTGAAGCATGGTGGTGGAAGAGTAATGGTTAGGGTTGAGATGAGATGAGATGATATACAGTGACATCCTTGATGATAACCTGCACCAGAGCACTCTGGACATCAGACTGAGGGGAATGCTCATCTTTTGGCAGGAAAACAATGCTAAGCACACAGTCAGGATAACAAAGGAGTGACTTCAGGACAGTCTGTGAATGTCCTTGGGTGACCCAATTTAGAGCCCAGACCCAACTGAACCTCTCTGAAAATGGCTGTGCACCAATCCTCATCATCCAACATGATGAGCTGGAGAGGTTCTGCAAAAAACAATGGGAGAGATTCCCCAAAAATAGTTGTGCACAGCTCATAGTATCATAATCTAAAACAGTTAGTCTGTAATTGCTGCCAGAGGTGCTTCAACAAAGTGCTGAGCAAAGGCTGTGAATACTTACATGTTATCTTTTTGTTTTTAATAAATTTGCAGGAATTCCAGGCAAATGTATTTCATTTAGTCTTTTTTCAGGTAATGTTTCTAGAATTTTAAATGGAAAATGAATTGAATCCATTTTGGAACGAGGCTGGAACAACTGTAGCTCTGAATACTTCCTGGAAGCACAGAGCCTTCAGGAATTCTTGACTAAGAAACTAGAAATATTTACTTTTAAGTTGTGTTAAAACTGTAGCTGTAAATCCAAAATCCTCTTCCTTCCTGCTGCACTGAACCATCTGTCTGACCCTCACTTTCCTTTTCTCATTCATATATTCAACAGAAAAGGACACATCAGAGTGCATTAAAGAGATAATGATCGGGAACATGAAAACCTACTTTGCTCATTGTTAACATGAACACTTTTGTAATGAATCGTTCATCTAGACAAAGACGGCAATCGGTTACTCTTTCAGTCACAGCTAATCTCTCTGAAACTTTGTTCACCGAGTGTTTCCCAGGTTTCCCAAGTTAGTGAGTCCATCAACTCAGAGCAGAATGTTAGACTGACGTTTTCAATTTATAATAAACAGTCCCATTTCTGATACCTGATAGCTGCTGTTTCTGGGAAGCTTGACG